CTAACAGAAATTAAATTGCACTTGAATTGAGGAGCATTTAGAACTCCTTGTAATTTAAGTCCGTTGTTGAAGCAAATGTCACCGATGCCAACAATCGGGACTTTGGACCATTTGCGACCTTCACAAATACCGCTGGTGAATTTTTCGTTCCTTGCAAAGAATGCTCATCAAAAGTAATGTGATCTGTGGATGCAGAGTCTAGAGCCCAAGCTAATGTGGGATTACCAGTCATGTTGGCCTGAGGTTGGAGTGGTTGATTCGGCCCACTTGGACTTGTATCTGGGCCCAAAATTTTGAGAAGTTTCTCAACTTTCTCCTGGGAAAGGCCAAAGTTCACATTAGGGATTGCTCCCACTTGAGCCACATGCGGCTCTCCCTCCTGCGAGAATCGCCGCCGCCTCTTCCCCAATTTTCCCAAGTTCCGCCGCTGCTCCCCCTGGTTTCCGAGCTGCCACCGCGATAGCCGCTCCTCTCTCTGCCTGTACGTTTGTTTCCATCGGGTCTTCCCACCAGCTGATAACAAGTTTCCTTGCGATGGCCTGGTCGGCCACAAACTTCGCACCGCTGTCGGTCGCGCCTTTCTCTATCGCGGCGCTCTGCTTCGCGGCGAGCACCTTGCTCCCTGTTCGTGGTCGGCCTGTGCGTCTGGAAGGCTGACGCTCCCTCGTCACCGGTCATAGGTCGCTGGGAAAGGGCACGCCGCTGCTCGTCTTCTAAGGTTAGGTGAAAGACGGCGGCAAGGGATGGCACGGGCTGAAGGCTGAGAATGTGAGTGATGATGTTCCCGAAATCGGCATTCAGCCCCATGAGAAAATCATAGACCTGCTCCTTCTCTTTTGCTTCACACCAATCTTTCTGCGTCCCACAGGTGCACGGCGGCAATGGTGAGATTGTTCTGAGTTCGTCCCATAGCGACCTCAGCTTGGTGTAATAAGTGGACACCGACATGGTGTCTTGCCGGAGATGACTGATGGCTCGCCACAGTTCGTAGGCACGGGGTGCGCTTCCCTTGGCGAACCTCTCTTTCAGATCCTGCCAGATCTCACAGGCAGTGGAGGCGTACAGGACGCTGCTCTGAATCTCCTTTGACATGGCTGTTTTGAGCCAACCAATGACCAGTGCATCGCACTGTTTCCAGGCCGCTTGATTTGAGGATCCCTCGGCCGGTTTGGGGATTGATCCGTCGACGAAGCCAAATTTATTTTTGGCGAGTAGGCCATATGTCATGTCAACTACCCATTCTCCATAGTTGGTAGCGTGGAGGGGTTCAGCGACAAATGGATGGCCGGAGGTGTCTGATTGCTGCACGAAGTATGGTGACTTCTCGGCAGCACTTGATTCTGCAGTTTTGCCGGCAGCAGCGGCATTGAGAGCTTCCTTCGACATAGCCAACGAGGTAAGCTAAAATGACCAACTACAAGTGTTTTAGCGAAGTCGTGTGGATCACCGCTCTGATACCATGTAAGAATTCAGTTTATTGAATTGAGATAAAATGAACATCTAAGCTACTGATTTATACAGAGTAGTGTGCTGCTATCATTGGGAAAGAAGTATAAAAGAAAGCTATCGACTATTAATGGAATGTGGGTGAACATTATCCCACATTATCTCATATTATCTAGACTTGAATGCTAACTGTTGGGAAAGCAGTGAGCTGTCTGCTCACATGGTTTCTGTGATCTCCAATATAAACAATGACCAGGATGATGGCTGGTGCAGCAACAGTTCGCACAACAGCTGCAGCGGCAGAATTGATGGTGGTCGTTGCTGCTAACGATGGCATTGAAGCTAGGGATAACTCCTCACCGGCGGCAGGTTCCAATGAGGTAGAGATGTCAAGAACCAGTTGATCCCAATAACTCGGGTTGTTGGGAGAGGTTCAATCGTAGATCGTATACCACAACACTAACACGCCCCTTCAAACGAAAGCCACTCACAAGGGCTTGAAGTTTGCACAGGTCTGAATACCATGTGCTTAACAAATGGAGGTCACCGGGAATCGAACACAAGACCTCTTGGTCACATAAGGCCCTGATACCATGTCAAGAACCAGTTGATCCCAATAACTCGGGTTGTTGGAGAGGTTCAATCGTAGATCATATACCATTTACTAACAAGAGATTGTTGGGGCTAGGGCTAGCTCCCCGGTTGATGGTTGAGCGGCCACGGATGTCGCTACCTCCTCGTGTACAATGGCGCCAAGGATTAGGTACTGGGGATTAGGTAACAGACGGAGAGGGCTTCGCGCGCGATTAGGATGCCGCGCCAAATATCTTCCTAGTGCGTTCCACCGTTTGAATTTTGGAGTTGGACTTCCATTCCATTTACTTGGTGAATTATGTTTGACAACTGAGACTGACTGGACGTGTGGTCTTCCAGTTTAAAGTTTAAGTTTGTTTCTCAGTTTAGTTAGTTGACAGAAAAAGATTAAAACAAGGCATCATGAAAACAAAACATCAAAGTATGCAAGTTGTCTAGGCAATTAGATAGTTTTAAATTAATTAATGGTAAACTATATTTGATTATCACACATTTAACTTTTTACAACATTATCGGCTTTAGTGTAGCTTAAAATGTATAAATAGGCAACATAATATTATTTGGGCTATAAACGTTGTGTATAATATCGCAAATGTAACAGAATTCGATTGATAACTTATTTATGTTATATAAAGTAGGGGTGGCAGTCGGTCGGTTTCGGTTTAAACGAAAACCGAAATCCCGGTTATCGGTTAAACCGAGCCACCTTGCATACATGCCGACCACCGACCGTGAGAGTGGTCACGGTTAGCCGGCCAACCGACCGGTCGGTTTCGGTTTTAGGCTGGTTAACCGGCCAACCGGAAAATACCCTTTATAAAAAAAAATTAAAACCAACAAAATTCTGAACCACTCACTCCGCACCCTCTCAATTCTCGATTCTTCTTCTTCCTATCCACTTTCCAGAGCAACCGCCGACCGCCCTCTCACCATCTCGATTCTTCTTCTTCCTTTCACCATCTCGATTCTTCTTCTTCTTTTCTTCCCCCCATCACCAAACCAACTGAAACAAGGAAGGAAAAAGAAAGAAAGAAAGAAAAGGAAGTTAACGATCTAATTCTTCTTCCCTGGGGATCCTATGAACGGCAGAATTGTCGTCACGCAATCCCCGTTGATGGATTTAGACATGCAATCCATGGCGGCGGCGATCGGGGTCTCCGTCCCCGTTCTCCGCTTCCTGCTCTGCTTCGCGGCGACTATTCCGGTGAGTTTCTTCCACCGGTTGTCCGTCCTAGGAACAGAGACTCCGGCTGCGCAGAATTGGTTGCTGCGGTCCTTGGAGAGGAAGGAGAAGACAGGGGAGAGGCACCCGACTCGATGATTATGCACTTAATCTGGATCCTACTACAAATCACGTTTCTGCTGTCAATCTTGTTGTGTATCTGGAGCTCGATTACGAGTTACCGACTTTCGGATGTTCTGGGTCGGGTTAATTTTGTCTGAGGGTATCGCTGAATTTGTTGTGGTTGATTCTTTGAGATTTGGTTGGAGAAGGAATCGGTAGGTTGAACGGCGATTGGAGTTGGGAGCAGGTGGATTGGAGGGAGGCGGCTGGGGATTTGGGAGATGGGACGAAGTTGCTAGGGTTGGGGATTTGGGGATGGGGTGTTTTATGTAAGGCAAAAACGGCGTCGTTTAGGCCTGCCGGTTAGTGTCGTTAGCAGGTTTAACCGGCGTCGGTTTTTCGGCTAACCGCCTAACCACGGAGAGCCTCCGACAACCGACCGTGCCCAATTTTTTTCGGTTTCCGGTTAGCCGCTAACCGGCGGTTAACGAATAGACCGGCCGGTTAGCCGCTAACCGGAAACCGAAATGACAGCCCTAATATAAAGTATCTTTTAAGTAATACTTTTAAAAAATGTTGCTGTTATTAATTTTAAGCAACATCTTTAATTTGTGTTGCAAACATAGTGTTGGCGAAAACCACTTTTCTCGTAGTGGCGGCGTCTTTGACTACATAATGAAATATTGTATTTCATTAATTGCTACTAATGCCAAAAATAACAGTATATGGCTAAACCACGCATAAAAGATTTCAAACATCACAAATATTATAAATAAACTAACTATTATCAATGATAAATAAAAAAAAACATTCAACCTATAAGGTTAGTTCATGCTTTAAACTGTTTTATTTTTCTAAAGAATCAAAATGTATAATCAAGTTCATCCTTACTAATCACTTGTCCTAGCCACACAAATTTATTAACACATCCAAAAATGATAAAAAGAACCTATATTTCAAACTCAATCTCGTCTCATGATTGTTGAGCACAATAATGCCATACTAGCAAAAGATTTAAGGTTAAGGATTAACCAGACTAAAGTTTTCAGAGAACAGATCACTTATTGTTTGCAGAATAATATCGTTGCTTCATCGTTGTTCTACAAATTGATACTAAATTAAGAGCTCCACATACTTTTACATATTTAATACTGCAATATTCAAATCAATGATATTTGAGTTGCAATTTTAAGATAATAAAAATATGAAAATGAAAGTATCAAACACCAAATAATGCTTAAGAGATATTTAGTGGGCTAGTTAACCGTAGGGAGAAGTTCTATGATTTTAGATTTCTACTTTATGTATTTTATTAATTTAGAAAGATACAATCAAAAAATTTAGTGTAATTGATTATCATTATTTTTTTATGAAGATATCCTGGTTCAAATCTCAACGTGATGTATTTTTTATAAATAAGAAATAATTACTATAATGACGAATATACCCTTTCTACTTTCACTCTGTTGCAAGAAATTTTAAATTGAGGAAAATAAATAATTGAATTTCCATAATATAAATGTTGTTGAGATACCGACCCATATTTCCTATTGTTTGGTCGGTTGCTTTCTTGCTATACTACGAATTGAATATATTTATCTTATTTGACAACGATACTCTCTATATACTGCTAATTAAACCATGATTATATCATGTCGTACTGTGACTGTCGACATTGTTGTGGGGTGTTACTGTGAATCTCATTGGCGGAGGGAAGATTCTGCCGGAGATCGAAGTTTCCCTGTCATTCACCATCATTCAAATCAAGGAGATCCTGGCCTCCCGCCTCAGTATCACGACTTCAAGGCAACAAATGTTTTATGATGGCACTCATATCAACAACAATGAAACACTCGAGTCATATGAGTTCGAAAATGATGATGAATCTGATGTGGAGCTGAATCTTAAGGTGAAGCCACTGCATGATGATCGCAAGATCAAATCGAGGCAAGGAATAACTATTTTATCAAAAGGAAGACTATCGAAGTGTGCGAGAATGACACTATACGTAGCTGATTTGAAGAGGAAATTAACAAAGAAAATGAAGACTATTGCTTCCCTTCTAACTTTGTCATGTCAAGGTGAGGAGATGTGGATAGGGACTTGGTCTCAAACTACTATGTTAGTGGAAACACCGTGATTGAGGTTGTTGAGTCTAAGTATGCATGAGTGACCAGGTGGAAACTTAGATTAATGATTTGAATAAGGAAGTTAAAACTGGCAAATTACTTTTATGTCTTTTCTTTTCCTTTGTCTTTGATTGATTAGACTACAATTATTATTATAATATAAAATTGAAAAAATATTTTTTTTTTTCGTAGCATTGAAGGGCTTCATAAATAAAGAAGGGCATTATTTTGTCTTACGAACATCAACATGCTCCTTTTGAGCCAAATTGTCACATCGGATTCCGATCATCAAATCATAACAACAAGTGCATAGACCAAATTTAGAGTACACATATTAAAGTGATATGGACTTAAAGGTTAAGAAAATTCATTAATTAATCTTAATTGATTAATTAATGCATTAAGATTGATTAGATGCAGGCCTAAAAAGGCTCAATTTATTAGGAAATTGCCTTTAATGCACGATCAAACCAATGTGAGATAGTCCTAAGAAAGTATAAAGAAACGAGACTTCAACCCGGGATCGGTTAGCTTGACTACCCCATGGAGGGGACTGATTTTCGACACCCCCATCCAAAACCGTCCATCTAAATTAGTGGTAATGTAGGGTGAGGATTGAGCAGCCTTTTTTGTGCATTAAATCCTTCATTAGCTGGCATCACCCACATTGGAAAGGGGAAAATTTGGGGACTGGGAAAAAACGATTTGACTTTCCCCTTTTGATTATTTCCCCTTTTGTCTCTCCCACCAGACGACCAACCCTCCTCCTTCCATCACCAGCAGCCGGCCATCTTCAACCTTCCTCGGCGACAACAATGGAGGTTATTCCTTCCACCGATCGAGAATCAACCTGCCAACCAACTCCTTTCCTCTTCCCTTTTGCTTTGTTTCCGTCAACCACCTTCCATCGGCGACACGACTTTGAAGAACTAACGATTTCATGGAACTAGTCTCGTCTCCCGCAAATCGATAGTAGGTGTTGGGTTTTACTCCCTTACAATTTTCCTCTTTCTACTCTTCTTTCTATATTTTTTTAAGGTCTTTCTCTGACTACCCTCCTCACCTTCTCGGCGAAGATGACGGCCTCCTCCCCTTCCCGATGACGACGACGAAGAATCTAAGGTAGCTCTCTCTCCCAAAACCCAGATCTGGATTTTCGTGTGGTATTAGCACTAGTTCAATGGTATTTTCATTACCCAGATATATGTCTTTGAGTTTTCTAGGTCTGGATTTTTTCATGTGGTATTAGTACCAGTGTACTGGTATTGATACCGGTGTAATGTTACCACTGCAATGGTAGTTCTACCACTGTCTGAGTTTCAGTTGAACGTTATCAGTGATAAGCTTTTTATCACTACAGTGACATAGTGTGTCTTTCGTTGCAGTGGTAGATATATCACTGTAGTGGTAGATCTCTCGTTGCAATGGTAGATCTATCACTATGGTGGTAGTTCGTTGTTATGTTTTTGTGTGTAGGGCTATCACTGTAGTGGTACTAAAAAAATCATTATTGATCTCATATTTTATCACTAAATTGATAATTCTGATTATTGTGTGTACCAATGACAATAGGAATGACAAGGACGAAGAGACTGTATCCTGCGGTTCCAACAGGGAAGAGACTTGCAAGCTATGTTTCTAGGGTAGAAGTAGGGGTATGTCAGACTCTTTCCTCAAGTAAGGGTACCAGCAAGAAACAGCGTCGTGAGAGCCGGGATAAGAACAACAAGATAGGGGAAGAGGAAACGTACCGATGATGTTAGGGCAAGAAGTACATCCCACAAACAATTCTTAGTGACTTCAATAGTTGCATTTGCTGGATATTTTATAGTTGTTGGCATTTCCCTTTTTTTATAACACATTGTACTGCACGGTGAGTGGTAATACTAATGAGAAGTTGCTTGTTTGTTTACGTATCAGATTGGTTGTACATGTATCAGTTCAATGCTACATGTATCAGTGCAGTGGTATGTGTATCAGTTCACTGGTATATATATTAGTTCAGTGATACATGTACCTTTTCAATGGCATAACTCCAAAGTATATCTAACACTACAATGGGAACATTTAGGATGAGTTTCAATTTTGCTAATGGTACAAGTAGAAAAGTATGACTTGAATAATTGCACTGGTACTTTTATCAGCCTAGTGGTACGTGTACCACTTCAGTGATACATGTATCAGTACAATGGTATATGTACCACAACAGTGGTACATATTCACGGCAGTGTCATCGTCATTGAAATATTTTGGTCTCCACCGCTTTTGAAGTTTGGAATTGATTTTATTATTTTTCTTTGTCGTATTATTGGTTAACTTCTTTCAATTTCATGGAAATATCTTTGCCGACGAGTAATGGAATAGAAATGGTATTCGCACAACTTCAGCGGTAATCATAATACTTCAGTGGTACATATATACTACTGAACTTGTATTATACCACTAGACTGGTATACATATCAATTAACTGGTACTTATACCACTATATTGATACTTATACCACTGAACTTGTACTAATTAAGACTGTCCTCAATATACCAATACTCATACTTGATCATGAAATATAATTCTGGCACAAGAAACACAAGAAACATTTCAATCAGTCAACAAAATAGGAACTTTCCATAGTAGCCAAAAACTGTGTTCACAATTTTTTTAAGCCTAAACAGAAACATATGGTTACTAGTATCACTCCACTGGTACACGTACCACTCCACTGGTATACGTACCACTCCACTGGTACACTTACCACTCCACTGGTACATGTACCAGTCCATTGGTGTGTTTCCTCTGCCGCCTAGTGGTACCACCCTCACCTTCAGATCCTGTCGCCGCCACTTAGGGTTGATCGAATCTCTACCGTGGAAGGACGGTGGTCAACAAGAAAAGATCAAGCGCATGTCGTGGATAAGAGGAAGTCGTTGGAAGGTGATGTTTGGGATGGAAGACGGAGGACGGCCGACGGCCGACAACATGGATGGTTGGACCTATTGTAAGGGCGGCGGGATATCCCCTGCGTGTCTTCCTCCTCCGACGAGCAACCCACCAGGCGGGTCGGAGGCGATCCCACTGCGACGCTGCCCGATGTTTCCGATCGCCGTCGAGTTTTGCAGAGTAGAGAGTCGGATTGCTATTTGGAGAAAATATGGGGAATATTGGACTTGGAAGAGCAATCGACGCTTTCCCCATCCAACATAATTGCTCCTTCCCAATTAGTTTTTTAATTATTGATAACTTTCCCAAATTACAAGATTATGAAAAAATACAAAAGCAAATGTAATTAATAATTGTCAAATGATTGAGAAAAAAACTGACCAATGAGAAATGGGGTGTCAAAAATCAGACCCCTTTGGGGTAGGCATAGTATCCGACCCCCTTCAACCCATCAAGACTCTTGGAAGCACCCTCCTAATTAGAAAGCAACGATACTTGAACCCATCAAGAATCTTACAATATTTCAATATATATTATGAATCTTTAACTTGCAAGAATAGTTTATTGATAATAAATGGGTTATAGGTATAATATGCCCCTCTACTATGACGTTTATCAAACATGCCCCTCTACTATTTTTTACATCAAACATGCCCCTGTACTTTGAAAAAATTATCAAGCATGCCCTTTTGTTAAGATTTCCATTGATAAAATCGTCAATCATGGTTGAACCGAGATTTAGACTTCCCGACATCGGCAAATGGGAGCGAAAATGTCAGTTTTTTTCTCCCGTTTTATTTCTCTGGGTCTCTTCAGAGTGAAATCATTTGGCTATACAAAAGAACAAAAAAAATTCTAAAGTGAAATTATTAGGAATATTTTAGACATTTGTGCCGCCCAAACCAAAGTTCGACCTTAGTTAACGGTTTTTGGATGAAAATTTAAACAAAAGGGCATGTTTGATCATTTTTACAAAGTACAGGGGCATGTTTGATGTAAAAAATAGTATAAGGGCATGTTTGATAAAACGTCATAGTAGAGGGGCATATTATACCTATAACCCATAATAAATATTAGCAATCAACATTCTTACAATTTAACAACTTTGAATATAAGTTCCAACTTTTCACTCAAGATGACCACCATAACCTTGAACACCACTCGAGGGAAAATCGTGCCCGAGTTTAAATATTTATAGGCATCTACCATACTCTACGTAAAGGAAAGCATCCACACTCGTCTTGGAATAAGGGTTGAAAGACAGAAGGTATCCTAAAATGGGAGTTCTCTTGAAGACGTTAGAAGCTTCAAATTTGGAGGATGAAGGATCTGTGGTGAAGTTGGACCTTCATACTCATCTCGTTGCTCACAAGATCTGCTGATCACACAAGATCCAGATAAAGGACAACCATGATGAGAAGGCAACTGCAAAAATTTGAGAAAGTGACCGTACGTGTTAAGGGGATGAAGGGGAAGATTGCAAAGATGAATCTAACCACGGGTGGAAATGGATGATAATTATAAATCACTATATGATTACTATATTAGTGAGGATACGTTAGTTGATGTTGTTGAAGGAATTAGGTATGTTTATTAGTTGGTTGAATGGGTGATTAGGCTAATGTAATTGGACAGACACCGTTGCTAGGTGAGGCTATCATATATTAACTATTTGAATTGTCGTATTCTGTTGAAAATAAACACTCGGCTGTGTTTTGGATAATAAATTAATATTGTGTCATGAATCTTGAAGCATGTACTATCGTAAAAAATGAATCTTGAGAAAATTATGTTGCTTTAGGCTATGTTTGATCAAGAATTTTGAGTGTTCATCATGAACAAACATGACAAGTATATGGTTTTGCTGACAGTGGTGGGGAGATAAGGAAAAAAATTATTCTCAATCTTACTTGATAGGTTGAAGAAGAAGTTAAAGCACTGGAAGGCGAAGACGTACGATGTCGATCGTAGCGAAAGAGGTTCTTTTAGAGTCGATAACTCATGTGCAATTCACTTATGTAATCTCACTATTTATTATACCATAAGGATTATCAAAAGTGCTCATAGTCTAATCTCAAACTTCTAGTGGGTTCAACGAGGACTGAACGTCAAACTCACTGGATCATATAGGAGGAACTTCGTCGCTCGAAGGCGGAAGGCAGGAACTTTGTCGCTCGATGAAATGTCCCTTCCAAGATATCTCACTTAGCTAACGGCATCTCTAAGAAAATTGTTAGCAAGGCACGAATGATGCAAGAACCATAGCCGGAAAGGATTGTATATCGTGACGATCAAATCAATACTATATTTCAGATGGTTTACCTGTGGCATGTGCTATATGCATTGGATGTATCCACCTCCTGAACTCCTCCTCTAGACGCCTTTCCATATATAATTAGCTTGTAGCCAACGTCCAATGTTATAGCGATAGCCAAAACATGCCTCTCCAAAACATGCCTCGTGAACTCCTCCTCTTATTATCAATTAACAACCATTGATAATAAGGAAATAATTAAATGAGACAATATGGAAATGGTCTTAATTAACAATCATCCCAAAATTCTTTAATTAACCCACAAATATCCGTTTCCGCAATTAACAACCGTTGATAATTAGAAAATAATTAAATGAGACAATGTAAGTTGTATTAAATAATTATCCCTAATTAACAATCATCTTCATTTGAACGAATGCAATGTAAGTTGTATTAAATAATTATACAAAACATTGTACATAATAGTGCTAATTAAATTGATAGAATTAGGTAGATTGGTGATAAAATAACATGTCTAATTCCATTTCCCTAATTGACAACCGTAAAAAATATTCCTTAATTAACACGTCTTTCCTTAATTAACACGTATAATTCTATAACCTACATCTAATGTCATTTCCTTAATTGACATCCCAAAAAAGAATCTTAACTAACATGTCCTACTCCATGACTCACGAGTCACGTCTAATTTCATCTCTCCAATTAATAATAGTAAAAAATTCTCTTAATTAACACTACTAAGCACGAAAAAAAGGATATTTTGTATTATTAATGACGATCCAAACATTTTCCTTAATGAAACCATACGTGGGTATTGGTTCTGATAATTCTAAATATTAATTATTTATTGATTTGTATACTATTTATAATTATCCATAATTTATTTATATAATGAGGGTTGGATTTTTACCAATTAGCGTTTAAGGATATTACGGTTTGACTTTCACCAATTAAGATTTTGCCGCCCGGTAGATTACTATTTGCCGCCCACAATTTTAGAAATCTATATTAAATTTTAACAATTTATGGATAATTTATTTAATTTTTTTGAATAGTTCTAAAATATATATTAAATTTTTTATAAAACTTTACCCAAGGAATCGGGTTGCGGAGAGGACTATTTGTGATTGTGGAAGGTTGGAAAAATGCATCCTTTTGCAATTACTAGAGCCATCAACATGAAAAATTATAGAAACTCTCACCGATCCCTTAAAATGTGAATATGATTGTAGTGGAATTGACCGTTTCTCGATTGAACGTACCAGACATAAAATGATGAATAGTGTTCAAATTTACGTCGATATTTTTCGGGGCTCTGTGGGTCGTAACGAGGTGCTTTATGACCCTACCACGTGTATTTTAACGATGCTAATGATTGTTGTTAGTGGATGCATAGAAGATTTTGCCTCTAAAACAATGTCGTAGTAGCATTCGATGGATCGATATTGAAGGTAGCTATTTTATTGGAATGAGGGTTTAGGGTTAGGGAGGTGTAGACGGTGTAAGATTGGATGGAGTCGAGTTGGTTTGTTATACGTCATTTTGGGTCGGATTGATTCAAATGTGGTCAAATCCTAATTAAGTCAAATCCTACCCTAATTAGTAAAGGTCAAACCCTAATCTCGCTAGAACCTAATTGGTCAAAATCAAATCATAATCTATGATT